TAGAGAAAACCTGTGTATTTGAAAAAGTTGAATGCGTAACACCGACGATATATGTGAAAAACAAGCCCCAGAAAGTAAAGATGAAATCGACACCGAGAAAAACTGGGGAGCGAGTTACCCGCAGCCAAGGACATGCAGTATTATTAAATGATTTAAGTAAACTGAAGTCACCACAGAAAACGTTAAGAAGCACAAGATCAACAAAAGGGAAGCTAGAGGTTGAACAAATAGAACCACAAGAAGAACCTACAGAAACTGTGACTCCATCCTTAAGAAGCTCAAAGCGGAAGGTTGTTTCTAGTAACACTATGGAGGTACCAAAAAATAGAAAAGCGGATTGGCAATATGATGTACTTGGTGAAAGACAAAAAATTCACGTGCAGACGGCACATTAACCAGATCAGACGATGCTCTTCAGACGTGGTTGACAGCGGTCCCGCGGAAGAAACGCCGAAGGAGGTGATTTTCGATACGTTTGATCCAACAACGCCTGCAACGATTTTCCATGAGGTACGCCGATCCATGCGAAAAAGAAAGGCAACTGGTCATTTAAAAGTGGATCTAAAACGTAGGAGATACGCTACCATGTTGCTAAAAAAATGAAGTTTTTTTTTTTGTTTTTTCTTCATATTTCCTGTAAAAAATAAATAAATAACTGTTATACTCCTACGGAGTAAAGCTTTAGGTGGGGGTGGTTATGGTGAAACACACCTATTCTATAGTTAATAGACTCTCCCAGCTAATATAAGAAGGAGTAGTAAGAGAAACGAGGGTCAGTCGATGTCGGACGACAGTAGTCGACAGTTAGTCGAATACAAAAGTAGTCAGCAACCAAACAAGATTACTCTGCGTAATACCTATTATATCAAGTTCCTAACGCTTTGTACGTCGAACTATTTAGGACCGATTTAGTACAAATACAAGCCTCCACTGCGAAATAACTCCACAACAATATTTTAACACCTCCATAACAAAACTGCTTTTATTTAATCAGCACAGAAATCTTTTCTACCTGCCAACAATATCGCTGATGCTAAACTCCAGGAGAGCGACACACTACGCCTTCTTGGCCTCACGTTCTCCACTGGCATGAAATAGAGCGACAATATCGAATTAATTGATTCGTCTACTGCGAAGGAAGTTAGTTCAGTATTGTGCCAGTTTTTTTTTTTCTCGTCAGAATCCATCTTGCACATTTATAAGTCTACAGTTCGTATATAACCAGATGAAAGATCAACCAAAGCTAGAATCAACATATAAATATTTTCTATTTTCCGGTCATCGAAAAATATACCCAGACACGAAATACAACATTTGCACGACTCGCTGGCAACTTTAGATAGCAAAAGCATTCTAACACATTTAAAAACATACACCTTTCTTTCTCCAACCCTTTTTATGCAGCCTGCTGATACATTTGAAAACAGACATACCTACCTTCACCCACATTATCAAGTATGCGGTTACTACATTTGGTTGGGTACGTACATACAGTACAGTAATGGATAGTGGCTCGGATTGTGGAATCAGAGAGCCGAGTTCGAATTCCAGTCAAATCATATTTTCTTACGTGCTAATACCCTTGGGAATGTTATGAATCCTCTTCTCTCTCCATAGCAGGACAGACCGTGTTCTATAGCCTTGGATAGCAACTGGTCTACTGTAGAAAGAAATGGCAATCTACTGCGGGAAAAAAAATATGCCTCGTCAGTCAGGTATCGAAAGATACATGATCGCCTAAGCGTGCATGACACATACAGGATGACTGCCTTTTCGTTATCGAGCATGGTCATCATACATCATCCCGTAAATTTTCATCAGTACCCCGCACGGACGTGACTTTTAAGGCTACGGTCAACCATATGCACCACCCCCAGTAATATCCCCCAAAATATCGTACAATGGATGTGCATTAAATTATTAAAGGGAAGAAAGATGGTGCACAGAATCAATCCCACTCTGTAACAGCAAAGTTGTCCTTCTCTTAACGGGTACTACAATCCCGGGTCAGGGTGAACCTGGGAACAACAACAATTAAAAGGTGATTCCATGCTCCTCAAAACCACCGATCAGAGGTCTTGTTGCCGATGTAGCTTATTGTCATACCCAGAACAAACACACATACGTACATACATGCATACATACATATGCATTTACTTCCTTCTGGACTCCTCTCGTATGCGCCGGGACTATTACACATAAACTTTTGAAAATATAACTTTCACTTAATCCTTCTATATTATTATATTATGTTATATAAAGATTTATTTTGTATTTTTCAGCACTTTGTGTATTTCCTTTTAATCATTACACAAAGCCTATCTATCTATCTATATATATATATATATATATACCCAAACCAAATATAGCGTTATAAGGCGGGAACGAATGTTATCATAAGATAACCTCTACAAAATCTTCGTTTAACGCGCGCCTCGCGTATCGTGAGACCTCCAAATTTTCAATTATAGACAATGATTTTATCATGTATCTCGTGTATCATGCGACTTATATATATATATATATATATATATATATATATATATATATTTTTTTCACCTGTACAAGTCCCAGGGACTACTCGAGGTAGAGGGTTACATTAAGAGGCAACGGATAGGAGGGGAACATAACGGTTAACCCAAGTCTTGAACATGTTAAGATTGTAATGATCGGGGAAAATATCCCGAGTTTCATAACAAAAGTCAAAGAAGTGTCTGTAATGTAATCGATCCTGAATGGCATCCCAACTTCAGTCACTTCCTTTCCGACGTGACGTGGCTTACCTCGGTCCTTCCTACAAATATTTTCATGGAAATTTTTCTCATGAGTTTTCCCCTTGGTGCCTTGACTGTGTGAATTTAAGCATACTACTAGATTGGCAACTAGGTCTCACCGTTTTATTGTGGAAATATCTAGATGCGACCGTATTTTGTATTCTAATAGTTTCTTTTCTCGCAAGTGGAAATTACATCCAATTTCTTACTACCCTCATAACGATAATCTTCAAAACTTTAATCCAACGTCAATCGTCATCTTCTGTATTTCTGAATCATTTATTATTTTTTTCTCTCTTTTCTCTTCACTAAAGTTTTTTTCATTATCTTACACTTCCAGTAACCCTTGCGTCCTAGTGGCATTATCGCCTTGCTTGGAGTGAAATGATTAAAAAATGTGGAAAAGAGGCAGATAACGAGAATATAAAGATAACATCACAGACTCGTACAGAATTTGAACCTCGCACATAGATTCCATTTTCCGTGACGTTATCCGTCACACTGCCCACACATCTCGTCTATAGCAGCATATGTTTAAATGTGTCTTTTATAATTAATATGTGCACGGTTATGTCTTTCTCCAAGTACCAATAAGAAATCATGGTTTTTATGCATAATTAAGCTTATACATCTGTATGCATTTGTGGCAACGTAAATCATGAATGTCATCATTTCAGCTGAAACAAATTAAAAATGGAAGAACCGATTAACGAGTCTTTCTTAATCAGTTTAGTCTATCAAGTCAAATATTTTATTTAAAATGTCTATGCAGAAATACCACCCTGTGCGTGATTATGAGCATAGATACGTGCATATGTGTGAATAAAATAGATCTTAAATATAGGAGGGGCGAAAAACATGTGATTCAGCAATCTGTTCTCATAAAAATATATATCCATTTTTTTAGTTACTTTCGAAAATTTCTAAATGTATCATATAAGCAGAAAAAAAAATGTCTGTAGGTCTTATACCCGAAAATAAGTACAAACGAAAAGTCAAAAAGGAAACGTGTACTTCACAGTTCTAAACAATATAATATATAAAAAGCAAAACCCCAAATAGGGTCTGTTGGTTAATGTTTTATCATTACGTTCCACATCATCCCTTAAGGTGTCATAATGAAAATGAAAAAAAAAAAAAAAAAAAAAGAAAGAGAGAAAGAGAAACATTAGGTAGAGGATACGCGGAGAAAAAAATGACACAAAAAGAAAATCCTTGTTTGGAATTTTAGAGTATAAGAATTGATTTAGAAGCAAAATCATTCAGGCGAACATGGAATGAAACGTTTCAAAAAGTCCCTAAGTCGAGAAGTAAAACAGACATTCCAACACATTTAGCGTTTCTAAGTTTATCTTTTGAACAGTACCCAGAAATTAGGATGCCGGTCGATAACAAAATAAAGGGAAGGATTTCGTTGACAATTTTGAATCAATAAATATTAACCTTTAGCACTCGACATTATTAATATTGGTCCCTTTCCACTGTATTCTTTTTCAGGGGCTCTCAGTTGCAATATTCTTATTGTTAAATTCAATCAAAGTTGTTTTCTGTTGCAATGGCAGGATATGACAACACAACTATGAAATTCAAATAAACTATTGTTCAGGGATGAGTCACCTCCAGTGGCAGTTAACTGAAAATAACGTCAGTTACTGTCACGTGTGGAGAATGTTGTCATTATAGCTGTGTTCACGGATTCAATCATTTTCTTTAGATTTTACGTTATTGTTGTGTACGTTTGTTTGGGAGAGAAGTAATTGACCTTATTTTCAGTTAACAATATGAAAATAGCGTTCGCTACATTCCTCCATTTGCTAAGGACATTCTGTTTTTTGTTATTATTAGTTACTTTCTTTAATTAAATTCATTTCGTTTTTTGCTTTGAGAAAGTCCACATTGGACGAAACGCGTCAGCAATAACTACAGTTTTCCTATTTTCATTTATATATATATATATATATATATATATATATATATATATACCTAATTTTTAACATCATATTCTTCGAAATAGTTATTTTTCACAGCAATACACCGGTCTCAGTCTTCCTTCCACTTTTGGAATTCAGCCTGGAAATTGTTTTCAGTAAGCGAGTCGATGACATTCTGCCATTCGCTTTGGATCTCGGCTACGGTGTTAAAACGGCGACCTTTGAGCTACATTTTCAGCTTGGAGTTAATATGCCGGGTGCGGAAGCGATATAATGTTTTTGGCTAGAAACTCACGAGTGAGGAGAGCTCTGAGACAGGATGGATTTTCTTCGTGAAGAATCCAATTCTTCGCGCTCCATAGATCCGGTCGCTTTCACCGAACGGCCTACATCAAACGCGTCAAAACGTTACGGTAGAACTCTCGATTGACGGTCTGGACCTAGGGGACGAATTCTCGATGCACAATACCACGGATGTCGAAAAAACGATGCGCATGCTCTTGACTGTGCTGCGGCTCTGTCGTGTCTTCTTCGGTCGTGGAGATGAAGGACTCTTCCACTGTGTTGACTGCTGCTTTGTCTCAGGGCCGTACCCGTAGACCCAACTCTCGTCACCGGAGATGATCCGCGGCATGAAGAATAAATCATCAGCGACAGGTTGACGGTGATCTTGAGAGACTTCGAGGCGATGTTCTTTCAGCTCAGCGGTCATAAGGCGGGAGATAAACTTAGGCAGCGACACGCTGCATGTTCATTTCAGACGTTAGCCTACAAGGGCCCATACGACAGACCAACAACATCAGCAATATCGTTGATTTTCCGACGACGACTCTCATGCACAAGATGATTAATTATCAACACATTTCCGGAGGTGACGCCCGTGGCAGGTCTTCCAGATAATTAATCATCTTCCATTGACGTTCTTCTGCTTTTGAAGAGCCTGTGTCACTCGGAACGTTGACTACAACCCATTGCCTCGTCGCTGTGATCTCGCCGAAGCTTTCTTAATGTCTCTGTGGCAGACTTCCCAAGTTGAACGCAAAATTGCCCGTTGGATCTTTGTTCCAACTTCCTTTCCATGACAAAATCGCAGGCTATAGCATGCACGTGATCACAAAAGCACAAATTTCACAACTTGCGAAGTGAACACAGCGACGTCACTCAGCTTACTGGTACATGAATGTCACTGCTGGCCCTCACCTGCGCGCGCAACCGTGTGTTGCCATCTGTTGGCGCGGTATAGAACTAGTCCAGAAATTTTTTGACACCACCTCGTATGAAACGCAGTATGTATCAATTTAATTTTATGCGTAAATCTTTTCAAACTTGTTACGAAACGGAAAGAATTATCATTTTTACCAATCCCAGTATTGTTTGTCCCGCAAACAATATTCTACAGACTCATGCAAGTGTGGGTAAAAAAACAAAAACAAAAAAAATACATGGAGTTTAAACAAACAACAATTAATAAATGTAGCATTTCATTTCTGAGATGTGTAATTGTCAATATTCTTGTATTATTTCGAACTATTTTTCCCACTCGCTATGCCACCACCCGGAAGAACGTTAGTAGTGTTTTTTTTTTTTTTTTTGTTTTTTTGGGAGCCTTTTATATTCAATGTCATATGGGTTTTGGCATTTACTTACGATGGGGATTCATACTGTTTTTCTTGATACACTGGCGAGGTAAATATAAAAGTTGGTTATGCATGTGTTACTGTCATCTTGTGACCATGAGTTCAGTCCTTGAATCTGGTAGTGATGCACCAATTCAACAAGAGAGAACAATAACTGATATCACAATAACCAACATATATCCTGTATCAGTCATGTAATGGACACCTGATGATGACCAGGGGGTATTTTGTCGAAATGTTGTGTCTATAGTAATATCGGTATCACTCAAGATGAGAACAAAAGTTCAAAATAATACAAGAAAATTAATAAATATATTTGTAAAATACGTTACAGAAGTGGAAATTAATTTCATTTTTGAAGTTATTTATAGTTCAATAGCATCTCAAGTTGATGTCTCTGTCGCGTGTTCTACAGGAGAGAGAGAGAGATGTTGACGTTTTTCAATTGAGAAAAAAACGATAAGCCTTTTAAAAGTCGCGCCGCCTGTAATTTTAGTCAGAAGCGGTAACCCAACATACTTCACACAGATACTATACTCTGATCCCAGGTAATGCAAACAGAGCGCACATATATTCTGATCTTATAGGGCAGACCTATACAAAATAATCCTGTGATTTTTGACGGGTACTATGTTCGTATAATAAATGGTTTACCTTGGCGACTAGAAACAGAACATAGACGCTGTAAATGAAAAGAAAAGGGAAACCAAAAAAGAAAGAAATACATAATATAAAGTAGGAAAAGATGCGTAGTCATTTAGTATATCAAATCCGATTTCTCGTCTCTCTTCGTGAACTATTATTATATCTTAGTAAACTACGAAAATATTTATAAACAAAGCAGAGGCAAGACAGCAAAGTCGAAAGATGAGATGCGATGCATCAGCAGAAAAAAAAAACTAAAAAAAAAAAATGTAAAAAGCAGCTAATGTCTTAAAGGCTACGCATAATACCCACTAAGTGTTTCCTGAAATATCTCAGTCTGAATATATTATTTTAATTTCTGAAATAAATACATTTTGTTTTCAGTGTGGCGTCGTCTAGTAAGTCTAATATCTATTCCTTACATCATCCAGGGGTGTGTGTATATATAGGGATATTATTAACAAAGACGACGATCATATAGGGTTCTTTTAAAAACTTGTCTCACAAGGGTTTTGGTTGCTGTCTGAAATTCCGACAGGATAATTATCATTATTACACACTGATTTACTTGGCTATTGTCCTAATTTTAGTTCATATATCCACAACGTTTCCGTCATTGTACTCCCAGGTGACCGTCATAAAAGTTTGATTGATTCGTTTACTATGACTTATCATCGCATTGTAGGTTACTTAAAGCTGGAACATATTTTTAGAGTGTAACAAATTTTTTTGAGCTCCGGTAGCGTATATTAAAGTTGTTGCGGTTAAAAAGCTCGTAGTCCGAACTCGGGTTCGTGGTCGCGTTCGCGGCCCCGGGGCGACGGCGCCATCATCCGTGGCCCTGATCTGGCGTCTCGTCTGCAGTCACTCTCTCACAGACGTGCCGTCGCCTCTCTCTGTCTTTTCGACAAATACTTCCATGGTAATTGCTCCGATGAGCTGCTTTCACTGGTTCCCAGACTCCATGAATTCAAGCGCCCTACGAGGCTGGCATCCCGCCCCCACCCTTACACTGTAGAAACTTTTAAATGTAGCCGTCTCTTCTACTCCAATAGCTTCATACCTCGCACCTCTCGCCTGTGGAACACCCTCCCCAATTACTGTTTCTCTGAGAGCTATAATCTCCAACTGTTCAAATGTAATATCAATCGACATCTCCAGTTATCTTGATCTACCCACTATCCCTCTCCTCGTCCTTTCTTCTATCATTCCTATCTGCTCTCGCTCCAAATCTTCCGCAACCCCCTGCATCCTAGTGGCTTCACGCCTTGCTTGGGGCGTAATGCTTTTAAAAAAAAAAAAAAGAAAAAAATGATAATAGTATAGCGATCATCATCATCATTTGTCGACCGCAGTCGGAATCATCGAGCCAATACGAACGATCCTTTCCTTTAGCTGTATAGTATGTGATATGCCAGGGCTACATACAGTTTTGAATTCAGTGTTATTTTCTCCTAGACTGATTGCCACCCAGTTTGTCCTAATATTATACCCATAGCGGGGAGAGAAGAGGATTCACATCTTTCCCAAGGGCATTAGAACGTAAGTAAATGTAATGGATCCGATTGGAATTCGAACGCGACTCTCCGTTTTCTCAATCCGATCCGCTATCCATTACTCCAACGTGATACAAATTTACTAATTAACCCATAACTGGGGGGAAGTGGTATATTCATACTTTTCCCAATGGTATTTGCGCGTAAGTGAATAGAACGAACCCAGCGGAAATTCGAACTCGGCTCTCCGATTAACAATTCCGAGTTATTTTTCATAACACCTCCCGCACACCCGAGCGTACGGCATCTGGCATTACCAAGCGGCCAACCATCTAAGTACTGACCAGGCCTGTCGTTGCTTAACTTCTGTGATCATAGGGGAGCCGGTGTATCAACGTGATGTGGCTGTAAACCGAAGGGAAGTGAGGACAGAAGAAAAGAGAGAGCGAGGGGGGGGTATGCAAAAGAGTGAATAAAACGCTAAGATACTTCAAAATATTAATACAAAAAAGCAACATTGCTTTTATCGTAAAATCAGGAATAGGAACGATGCGTACTACCTCCAATCCCCCCCACCGACCGTAAGAACCAAGCCTGATTGGTGGGTACCAGGTATTGAGTTGTGACCCTTTCTATCTTATCAACATTTATTCTTTCTACTTACATTTATATACGTTGCAAATTAAACTAATGATTTTTAAAAAAATAAAAAGTTTTCCGAATTTGACGTCATTCGGAAGTTTTTTTTGTCCAAATCCGTGATTTTTTTTACTCATTCTAAGTCTCAGAAAATAACACGTAAAATTCACTATTTTCGCATCCATAATGTTGAATGTGTTTAATTATTCAGCTTTTTAACAAGGAAAATCTCAAGTTGATGTTAAAAATTTCCGCAAAATATTGTTGATTTCTTTAAGATGGAATGATCTGTTATGACATGTCTCTAATTTGCATTTACATACATTATATTTATTTTCAATTTTTCTCGTTGAATCATTCACTTCTACTGCGTATGATCCATTATTGTACATAATTAGGTTGGAATAAAATTTGCATTTTATATGAATACTACCTTATGAAAATTGAGACGTGGTAGAGAGAGGGTCCCGTATCATAGATTCGGAGTGTGAGCACAAGACCCTTGCACCGGCCCTGTGTGTGTATATATATATATATATATATATATAAATGAAAAAGATTTTTGGTTTGTAGTTATAACATTTTAATTTAGTATTTTATATAAAACTCTGCTGCTATAAACATTTAAGAACTTTGTTGCTATACTCATAGTTGAGTTTATTTATTTTTGCCTGCAATTCTCTTATATAAAGGGCTTCCCGAATTTTATGTTTTTGCGTATTATTATTTTGATGATTACTAATGTATTTTTGACTAAAATCTGTCTAAACTGTGAATGCGGACATGAGTGTTTCTTCAAATTTTCTGTAACTGAACTATACTTATTCAAGTGAAACGTAAGCCGTCTCGTCAACATTGTCGTTCTAAAACCAAAATATGTATTAACATTTTTATCAGAGACGCAATCTCCCAAAGGACATTTAAATTTATATACAATGTTGGTCTTTTGCAAAATGCGAGTTGACGGAGAACTTTTGGGACGACTGGGTTGCTTGTATTAAATTTCGTATAGTATTTAATTAATTTTATTTTTTTACTTGGATCAGTAGGCGATATATTCGTGTTTATGAGCCTTTTTAGAATGTTTTCCTCCTGCTTACATTTAGAATGCATCTGATTATGGTATAGTAGTTTGATATGTTTAGAATTATTTGATGATATATTAGGTTCATTTTTATTTATGTCTATATTCTCAACAGCTTTTCTAATTTGTTCATCAACTATGTAATTAGGAAAGTCATTATTAATGGGAATTTATTTAATATTTTCTTAATTCGCATATGTTATTTTTATGGTCATAGTAAAGAACTTCTGTGGTCCATGTCAAGAGTAGTTTCCTTAAATATTATAAGTAAAAATCAAAAATATTTTTCTTATATATATATATATATATATATATATATATATAATAGGAAAGAACAATGAGATTTATAATTCAGAGTTCTTAGCATTTATTTTTTATTTAAAAAAAAAAAAAAAAAAAAAAAAACAGTGCTTGATACACCTGGAGAGCATAATATTATAATTGTTTTTTTTTAATATATAATCATCACAATACCGAGATTCCCATATTTCAAAACTGAAACTGCAATTCAAATTCAATCATAAAAATTAAATTTAAAATACAAAGTTCTTTTCCATTATCAAGCGACGCTAAGAATTTCTAAAAAGTTATTCTTAGCATGGCTTGATAATGGAACGGAACTTTGTATTTTAAATTTAATTTTTATGATTGAAGTTTCAGTTTTGATCATGGGAATTCCAGTATTGCGATGATTATATATTAATATATATATATATATATATATATATATAACTAGACTCGTTTCGAAAAACCCTCGAATTTTTGATTTGTTAATCAAATCAATTTCGAGGGAAAAAAAATATATATGTGTGTGTGTGTGTGTGTGTGTGTGTGTGTGTGTGTGTGTGCGTGAGTGAATGAGGGTTTTAACGGATATACTAAAAATATGTTTCGTAGGCTAAAACACTATGTATTCAGACGTCTTCTTTTGAACATCAGCTTTTAAAGGATTTACTGAAAATACATTTCGGATGCTAAGTCACAAAATATTTAGGCATCTCTTTTTTTAGCGATAAAAGGCCATCACTATTTGGATGTTATACCCAGGATTGGTGTTAGTGACCAAGACGACCTGCAAGGTGGCTGGACGTGTTAGCTTTGTGGGTAGAGCTGTGGTTGATGGGACACTCCAGCCTTGAATGACAACCTATCATCAGAAGTAAGTTAATATTTAAAAAAGGAAGAACTCGAACAGCACGTCTCTATTGGAGAGAGCCTACAATTTTCAGGAGGAGTTTAATACCCATGTAGTATCAGTTGCTGGAGGGTTAAAATGAAATACTTATTTTAACCCAGGCGGGAACCTGAAGCAACAATAACGACAAAAACAATAATAATAATATAGCTGGTATACCCTTATTAGATTGGGTGCAAGGATGGGTAGATCTGGTTTTGTAAAGTTGTACCTCAACGCCATTTGTTGGTGTGCTGTTGTCTCATTCATTTATTCTTCCTCCTCCTCCTCCTCTTACTACAACTATCATCATCATCATCATCCTCCTCCAACCATATAATAATTATCAGTGTGTATTTATTTATATATTTCCTGTACCATCCGTAGGGGAAATGGAGATAAATCAAATTATATATTATTGGATAGATAGATAGATAGATAGATAGATAGATAGATGCACGAGTGGGTGTTAAAAAGTCCTTGGCCAGATCGACTTTTTAAAATTTGACTAGACATCACTCTGTGGTGGAGGCGTTCTCAGTCGGATTGAGAATTTTTCAGCACCTCCTCCTCTTGAACATGAGTACAGCAACAGTACAACAAATGTAGATGAAATCACATTACTTACAATGCCTTGCGATGCTAGCATATTAATCATTGCTCTTCGTCTCCATTATATTATGGATGTGCGGGTGGTGCAATAAGAAATCGGAGAGCCGAGTTCGAATTTCATTCGAGTTCGTTACATTCACTTACGCGCAAATATCTTTGGGAATTCCATCTCTTATATCCCTCCCCAGATGTGGGTTAAATAGTGGGACAGGCTAGGTTGGTAGCCAGTCTATGCGAAGAACAACTCTGAATTACAAAAACGTTTTGGTGATCCCATGGCACACTGTCTATTCCAGTTCTCTGTATTCAGTTCTTCAGAAAAGTGTGAGTGGTTTGGCACAAGTTTTCTCTACTTATAATCAAATCCCACGCATGGGTGATCTGACTGTTCAGTTCTAGGAGCTGGATTTTTGGCCCCTCATACGTCGATGTCGACGGGAGAGTCTATCATATATATTGTAGGTATTTGTTTTGAACACAAGCAGCCTGTAGGTCAAGTAATATGCTGGCTCTATATAAAATCATGTCTTGGAAATGATAAAAAAAACTGTATGTATTTATAACATGCTTATTCTAAGAAATAACATTCATGATTGTTCTTTAGAAATAACATTATAATTTCGTAAAGCAAAACGACGCCAAATCAGAATACGAATAATCATTATCAGACCTATTTCAATTTAAAGGCACATTGCAAATCAGCGTGATTTCTTATCTTCAACCTGCCATCTGCTCTGCTTTTTAAAAATCTAAAGAGCGCATCTCTATACGACTATTCTGAGCGAGGCTTAGTTACAGTTCATATGTATACCCACCAACGTCAAATACGATCTGGAAGAATATGAATACGTACCAAAAAAAGAAAACATCAAAAATCTGTATGAAGATTATCTGCTTCAGTTGATATGAATAGTTCCGCCAAAATATTTGTAGAAACTTATTAACTATTAGAAGAAAAGCAAATCATACTGTTTAAAATGAGTGTCGAATATAAAAGGAGCAAAAACTAAAAGAATTTTGTCTCTTATTTGGATAAATAGCTTTTTTTTTCTGGTCTGCTCATTATTTGCTCGTGAAGTGAATTTTAGATTTTTCAGCAGGAAAAAAGAAACTATCTTGTAAAAAAATAAGGCATTTACATTATCTAATTGCGATATTAACAGTCAAGAAGTGATTGCGTTAACACATGTTAATATCGATTAAGTGCTTTGTTTTCACAAAAATGATTTCATCCTTTTTAATGGACGAAATAATTTAAGAAGAGAACACAAGAATCATGGCGAGAAGAAATAAACCTTGTATAAAAAAAAATAAGATAACAAACATAGGAAAGAAAAACAAATCATTTTTTATCATTTCATCCCAAACAAGGCAATAAATTAACTTAATAAAGCCATTAACACGAAAAGAGTTACTGAGTGTTAGAGAATATGAGAAAAAATACGGCTTTGTAATAGTGTGTTAAATAAGAGTAAATTTCTATTCCTCCTCTCTTCATTTAATTTGATGTTTAAGGAGGCACAGTGGAGTAATGGATAGCGGCTTGAATTGAGGAATCGGAGAGTCGAGTTCGAATTCCAGTCGAATCCATTACAATCACTTATGTGCTAATACCCTTGGAAATATCCTTCTTCCAGCTATGGATAAATAGACTGGCACCTGGTCTAGGTGAGGGACAACTCTGAATTCAAAAACTGCGGAGGGTCGTTTGGGGACATTGTGGTACGTAGTACACTAGGTCTCTATTCGGCCTTTCAAAAAAGTGTGGATGGTTCTGCACAAAACCTTCACCATTATAATCAAATCACATGTGCTGGCGTCTGGTTGTCGGTTCCTGGGAGCTGGGCTGCTTGACCATCATACGACGAGGAAGTCGAAAATATATATATATATATATATAT